AAGAGAAGAAGAGAGGGCAGAAGTACACACATCCTGTACTCAGGTAGAAGTACACACATCCTGTACTCAAGTAGAAGTACACACATCCTGTACTCAAGTAGAAGTACACACATCCTGTACTCAGGTAGAAGTACACATCCTTACAAGTACACACATCCTGTACTCAGGTACAAGTACACACATCCTGTACTCAAGTAGAAGTACACACACCCTGTACTCAGGTAGAAGTACACACATCCTGTACTCAAGTACAAGTACACACATCCTGTACTCAGGTACAAGTACACACATCCTGTACTCAAGTAGAAGTACACACACCCTGTACTCAGGTACAAGTACACACATCCTGTACTCAAGTAGAAGTACACACACCCTGTACTCAGGTAGAAGTACACACATCCTGTACTCAAGTAGAAGTACACACATCCTGTACTCAAGTAGAAGTACACACACCCTGTACTCAGGTAGAAGTACACACATCCTGTACTCAAGTAGAAGTACACACATCCTGTACTCAAGTAGAAGTACACACATCCTGTACTCAGGTAGAAGTACACACATCCTGTACTCAAGTAGAAGTACACACGCCCTGTACTCAGGTAGAAGTACACACATCCTGTACTCAGGCAGAAGTACACACATCCTGTACTCAAGTAGAAGTACACACATCCTGTACTCAAGTAGAAGTACACACACCCTGTACTCAGGTAGAAGTACACACATCCTGTACTCAGGTACAAGTACACACATCCCTGTACTCAGGTAGAAGTACACACATCCTGTACTCAGGTACAAGTACACACATCCTGTACTCAGGTAAAAGTACACACATCCTTTCCTCAAGGAGAAGTACAGACATCCTGTACTCAAGGAGTACACCTGGTCCTACAGTTATTTGTGTTCAAAGTGTAAGAGGTCAAAGTAAAAACTCGTATTAACAAAGTATTTGTACTCCAATGCTTCCCACTTCTGATAATTATTGTTAGTTGAAATAAGTCTCTTTCTTCCTGGCTCATGAACTCTTGAATAATACTTTCCTCTCTGTTCCTCCTGTAGTCCCGGAGCCTCCTCAGGTCCAGCGCCACATGGAGCCTCAGTCTGTGGAGGCGGGGAAGCCGGCCCGGTTCTCCGTGCAGGTGAGCGGGCTCCCGGCTCCGCAGGTGTCCTGGTTCAAGAACTCCCAGGCGCTGTCCGCAGGCTTCAAGTGTAAGTTCCTGCACGACGGCGCCGAGCACTCGCTGCTGCTCATCGAGGTTTTCCCCGAGGACGCCGCCGTGTACCACTGTGAGGCCAAGAACGAGTACGGAGCCGCCAGCAGCACGGCCGCGCTGCACGTGGAAGGTGAGGCGGGGAGTGTAGTGTATATTCAGACAAGATTCACACAGATTAGAGATGTATACAATTAAAGATACAATTAAAATGATATACAGTTACTTAGCTTTTAAAGTAAGAAATGAATTGAACATATCTACGTAGGGTAGTGAAAGTGAAGTCTGAAGGTGCAGGAAACAGAGCGTGTGGACACATGTTGACGCAGGTGTGTCTGTGTGTGTGTAGTGTCGGAGGTTGTGTCTCCGGACTCAGCAGCCACCGTGGCCCCCCCGGTGGTGATGAGCCCCATCAGCAGCACCTCCGCCCGCGAGGGAGAGCCGGCACGCTTCCAGTGCCGAGTGCGAGGAGACGGTGAGGGGAACACGAGGGAGAAGTCTCCAGATTAAAGTCACTAACGTCCTTAAAGCTCCGTGTTATTGCTAAATGCTGTGTGTTGAACGTCCCTGATAATAACTGTGGAGGTATCTCAAGAGAAACTGATAAATGATTCAAAGTTTGTCTTGTGTTATATTTAATAAAGAAAGTTAATATAAAGTGATATGGATCTGAAATGCAGGAACAGAGCAGCTTCACCCTCAGAGGAGAGAGAGGTTCTGCTCACAGTTTACAGTCACAGGGAAAACATCTAACTGGTCCCACCCTTACATTCTCATCACCTACACATCCCATCATTCAACTGTGAAACCCCCCAGTCCTTAACCGTTTGCAGATCCACCCTCACCCTCCTGAAATGTAAACCCTGAACACATGTCTCTGTTGAACACATGTAGGACTAAAAATACTGTTTAAACGAGTAAAGGGCAATCAGAGTACAAGACATCATCTAGATATATTATTTATATGTTATATGACATTTGACCATACGCATACCTCATGAATGTTTTGCTGTTTCGCAACGTGAAGAATCAGCTGGTCTTCCAGGACAGAAGGAGATCAGCAGTGGACTTCTCCGGACTGTCTCAGTTGACGAACAGCTGTCAGCTGGAGCTCTCAGCAGTTGTACGCGCGGAGGACGAGCGAGTCGCCTCGGGCGACAACGCACCGGGAACGTGTCTCAGCGCCGCGCTCGCCCTGACGGTGCAGTCTGGACCATGAGGGTTCACTTGGAGAGACTAGGGGTTAAAGACGCATTACAGTTGACTTGTTTCATGCCAACGGGTCAGAAAAGGCACTTCTGCCTCTCTCTCTGTGGTGTTGCAAACAATATCACAGAACTGCCTTCCTCTTTTTTTAATTCCCAGAAGCAACTCAAATGTAAAACAGACTGGTTTCAGACTGGTTCCAGACTGGTTTCAGACAGGTTTCAGACAGGTTTCAGACTGGTTTCAGACAGGTTTCAGGCTGGTTTCAGACTGGTTTCAGACTGGTTTCAGACTGGTTTCAGACAGGCTTCATGGTGGTTTCAGGCTGGTTTCAGACTGGTTCCAGACTGGTTTCAGACAGGTTTCACACTGGTTTCAGACAGGCTTCATGGTGGTTTCAGGCTGGTTTCAGACTGGTTTCAGACTGGTTCCAGACTGGTTTCAGACTGGTTTCAGACTGGTTTCAGACTAGTTTCAGACTGGTTTCAGACTGGTTTCAGACTGGTTTCAGACTGGTTTCAGACAGGTTTCAGACTGGTTTCAGGCTGGTTTCAGACTGGTTTCAGACTGGTTTCAGGCTGGTTTCAAGACTGGTTTCAGACTGGTTTCAGACTGGTTTCAAGCTGTGCTGACTGGGATGTAATCTAGATGCAATAATCTCATGCTCCTCGGCGTACTTCTTTCAGGCACCGACAGCGAGAGTCTTTGGTCTCTCAGCGCCTCCTCTCCACC